GATAGACTAATGAAATTTTATGGAAGCATTACTGTTATGAAAACACACTTTCTGGTAATTTTTCACTTTTTAAAATGAGTGGAAGGGGTTGAAATAAACTACCCCTATCATTCTTGTTAACGAAATTTAAAGAAAAATCTTATCAAACACATGCAAAAAAATTAATTTGGATAGTTTAGTTTGTTTAGAAACTTTTTATCTCTTGTATTTTTATAAAACTCACCGATTTGAAATTAAAAATAAAATGTAAAGCATTACATGTCAGGACTAAAAATATTTTTAGATTAAGAATCTAGTGATAATAATAATAATCTAGATAATAACGTATTGCAGTAGGGTAATGTCAAATAAAACAATATTAGAAACATCCTAAAAGTGACAGCGGCCGACTAGATTTTTTCCTAAAAAAATTACAGCTGCCCACTAGATTCTTTATCTAAAAATGTTTTTTGTCCTGACATGTAATGCTTTACATTTTATTTTTTAATTTCAAATCGGTGAGTTTTATCAAAAAAACACAAGAGATAAAAAAGTTTCTAAATAAACTAAACTATCAAAATTAATTATTTTGCATGTGTTTGATAAAATTTTTCTTTAAATTTCATTAACAAGAATGATAGGGGTAGTTTATTTCAACCCCTTCCACTCATTTTAAAAAAATGAAAAAATTACCAGAAAGTGTATTTTTATAACAGTAATGCTTCCGTAAAATTTTATTAGTCTATCTCTTTTTGTTTTCAAGATAAAAAATAAAAACATTATTTTTCCGCCATCTTTGTACCGCGATATCTCCCTAATGGTTGACTTTTGACCCAACGTTTATAAAGCAAACTACCCTTTATTTTGAACAAGGAATCACCCCCTGAAGTTTTTCGCATTTGTTTTGAAACGCCCTGTATATTGCACATTATACCGCTTTCAAAGTTATTGCTATTTATTTCTATTTCGATTAATCTGCTGCCTTAAATTTAAATATTTCTACTGTGAGTGTTTAACTACTGTCAATAAATAAATTAATTACTAAAATATTAATTATTAAATTAAAAATAAAACGTAAAAATCTTTAAAAATTATATAATAAATATATCGTTTCCTAATTTTACATTAACATTCATCTCATAAATTCATCACAATCCGGCAGCGCTGTCGCTATCGCTTGTCACTCAAAACTGATCACGTGCATTGGAAATTGTTTTGTGATTACTTTACTATTATCTTTGCTATGTATGAAAATGTTTCTCTGACTGTTATATTTGATTTGCAATTTTTCCAATTTCTTAAAATATTTTTGTATATTTGATCTATTTATTCCTCTCAGGTCACGTAATATCTAGTTTACCAGAAATAAAGGATTTATGATACCACCTCCGTTATAGAACAGTAAAACATACAGGGGTTAACCAACCATAAATTTGTCTTTCCTGTTATGTAACAGCCATCAGTGTGGAACATTAAATTAAAAACCTAAGTGTTAATATTTGTTATATCGGCGGTTTTTCGAAATTAACTTCTCTAATAGCTTTGCTAGTTTGTAAAATTGGAGTAACAATTGCACATCATACAATATTGGATGACCAGACATCTCGTCAAACAAACATTTATAATTAGATATAATTTACTGTACAGGGTATCCCACTAAGAATAGCTCTCGGCTGTATTTTGGAAAGTATTAGTCATAGGGCCTGCGAAAAAAAAATATATTTATAACTAAAGAGGCTATGAGAAACTGCTGAAAATTATTTTCAAGTTTGTAGAACTGCCGCGAAACTGCTATAAAAAATAAGAATAAGGAGTTTTTCATAGATTTAGGAAGATCAGATATCACATTATGCATTTTAACCCGATCAAACATTCGGAAGTTGACTACGTACTGTAAAAACCAACTGAGATAGAGAAGGCGACATTGCCACATATCAAATTTGCGCCTATCTACTTAGTTTGATTTGCAGAAAAGGTGACTTTAAAACCTTCACCGGATATCAATAAATCTCAATTTCTTAATTAAATTAATAGTTTATTTTTAAAGAAGCATGCGTAATAATATGTTATTAACCAGATGATATATGCGTTACTATTAAAGGACATGTTTACTGTTTAATGTGCTGAAACGTCTAGAACTATTGGCAACGTCGCTGCTAGTCTTCCAGAATAAAATGAGCCGTCCGTCCCACCACCCCTCGCGACGGCCCTTGGTCCGTTATAGCGTATTACGTTTAGCTTACGGTGTGTTTGAAGTCGGAATCAAGTCCGAAGTGAACTTTTCAGTGTTTTTCAGTAGTTTTTGTTTTTGTTTAATGTACTTTTCAATCTGCGAATTTTCAATATGGTACGACAGTGTCAAATGTGTGGACAAATAAGCTCAAATTACCCGAATTTGTCTTTTCACAGGTAGGTATTGTTTCCACCGCGCCGTAACCGTACATAGGCGTCCCACAAGGGAGCCTCTCACAATTAAAATAATTTCTAATTATATTTGTTGAATTTTGATCTACTAAAACAAGAACGTAGTAGCCGGTAATTGAATTATAATTCGTCTCAATTACTACCTAACTGTTGTAGATCATAACAAATTTGAATATAAACGTTACATTTGAAACTTTATTATAAGCCAGAAAGTGACATTTTTTTCTTAAAATTGCGTCCCATTTTGGTCATTATATACGATATTCTAAAGGAATTTTGCTCGACAAATAAACAAAGGTGTTTACCCGACCTTTTTTACATTTTATTGCTTTATTATATCTGCCTCTTCGGCCTTGTTTAGACAATTTTTTACCACCGTACAAATACATCTTCCTAGAGTTATTTGTACGGTGTTTTTAACTTTTTTTAGAATGTGAGGAACTGTAAATAATTCTTAGGCTACTAGTTTTATACATATCTATATAGAGAGTGACCCAGGCCTCCAAAAAAGCTTTTTACCTATTACGTTTTTGGTTTGTGATTTTTATTTCAATTTTTTACATAAGATGGGGACCATCGTAACGCACATTTTCAAAATATTTATGTCAACATACAGGGTGATTCAAACCGCAATACATATGCTTAATACAGTTCATGAAGATTAGGACATTTAACTAAAATTTGATGAAGCTACCTTTAAAAGTAATGGATTTGTAAATAAACGTAATAGGTATTCATTATTATGCGACAGAAATCCCATACTGTAGCACACAGATTTTATACTCTTAATGATAAATGACTTCTATTGCGAGACTAAAATGCAATTGCCTCGTATCAGAACCATCATAATACAAGAGAAGACCGAAAGTCAAATCTTGTCTTATATTTTCAAAAAAAAAACACAATTTTCTCATTAAATATTGATTTTAGGTATAGGAAGTTATTAATAATACAAGATTAAACAATTATTACACAGTACTACACAGGAAGCTATCGATTGCGAACTAACTAAATCGTTACTAATTAGGTACTAATTTTGAAAAGTTCTTTTTAAGATAAAAACAGGTAAAACTAAAACCTAAACTATGATTTGAGATTAAACGGGAAGTTCTAAATAATGTTGCCTATTCTAAACAAGAAAAATTTATTTATAAGTTAAGTTTTATAACATTCCTAATTAAATTTGGGCGAAAAGAATATTTGTGTTTGCTGTAGGTAATTTTCTCAGGGAAAATACGTAAATAAAAATGACTTTTTAAGTCAAAAAAAGTCAAAAGGACAAGTTATTCCAAAAAAGGACTGTCCTTATCAAAAAAGGCCAAGTGGCAACCCTAGGTATTTCTTGGAATGGAAATTTAATGGCAAATCTACAACTTTGGTTTGAAAATATGTTCCGGTCACCTATGTTTACAAAAATGTCTAAAATGTGCCTAAATGCCTCCATATCCTGAAAAAAAATTGAAAGAAAAGTCACCAACCACAAACCTAATATAGAACTGTTTTGGAAGCCTGAGTCACCCTGTAAATATTCAAAAGTAACTGAAAGTTTATATAGAAGTAACTGAAAGTTTAAATTGAAAATCGACGTTGGAGTGATTTTCGAAAACTACTAACGTTTTAACATAAGTATATGTGGGATATTAATTGTATTATTATATTAGACCTTATAACAAAACTCATCTGACGAAAAAGTGCTAATGTAGTATATTAATATGGAGTAAAAATTTTACTAATTACTTTACTTTTACTTTACTAATTAAATTCGTTTCAAAAAACGATGCGCCACTGGCCATTAGAACCATCCAAATGCGCCTAGTTGCCGGGGTCGGAAATGTTAGACTTCTCTGTCTCTTCTGTCCTTGTTTGACACATTGGAATGTTTGATACACTACCAACGAGTATTTATGAATGAGATGTTCGGTCTATCTTTATAATGTCTTTGGAGTTTTTACACAATTTTGCCTAGATAACGAGTACTATAAATAATAGCTTCATAATCTCCAGTAAATTTTGAATATTTTTCATTAGAACCATTTTCCTCTATTTGTCACAGTAAAGTGGTGGGGGAAGGTTAGATCTGTTTTTATTTAAATATTAATAATTTTGGACTGGATGAACGGAATTTAACAAACGGGGGCTCGTTTAAAAGAGCGTGTCTCTACTCTATATTATATCATATAAACAATAACAATAAGCTTTTGAACGTAGACACTAGTCTTTAAATTTAACAAACATTGCGCGTTTTTTCGAAAAAAAAATAAATGCGATAGTATATGTCATTTTAGCTGATGGTAAAGAGTAATAAAAGCGTAAAAGCCAGCGAAAACCGCATCTTGATATCTTTTTTCAAACCAAAGTTATTAGCAAGGTTATAAGAAATACGAAAAAAACTTCTACATTCTAAATTCTACATTCTACATTGATTTATCTTTTTTTCTATACATGTTCAATGGAGGTCTGCTGTTTTAATACGATTGGGAGAAGTTGGGGAATTGTATCGTCATATACGATGTGAAATTTTGATATTTAAATTAGATTAGTAATAGAATGAGCATAGCTTTTGTCATATTGTTACTTAATGAATATATTAATTACAGGTTCTACATTAGAATCGTCATCAAAATGCCCCATGCTAACCGAGTGTCCCTTCAAAGCTGAACAATGCGAAGAAGACGATGACTGTAATGCAGATGCTGTCTGTTGCAAAAGCCCATGCGGAAAAATTTGCACCAAACAACTATTTACTGGTAAGTATTGCAAGATTTTATATACAGGGTGGTTCGAACTATATTCCGGAAACTTCGGCAGCACATTCTGCACATAAAAATAAGTAAAAAAAGCTCATATACATTTTTATTTCGATTTTTTCCAAATAATTTCCGAAGTAACGTCAATATATAGATGAAAATTGGTGTCTGGGAGTTTTTCCACATGAGAAATTTGATTTTGATGTCAATCTGACTCCTATGTGTAGAGGGCGCCACCTACGTGTGTTTTAACTGTTTTGAAGCCTAATAACTTTTTGTCCGTACCTGTATAAAACAACCGAGTAAAAAAATATACATTGACGACATTTTTTAAGTAAAAAAGGTCTCTTGCTAAAAATCGCTATCAGTAATGGTTCTCGAGATATTTGGAATCGATATTATCAATGCCTCTCATCACTGACAAAAATTTGAAATGTTTTTGTGCCAAAAGTTCAACAGAAACTGTTTCTTCATCATTTTTTCGAAGAAAAATTTATTATTAATTTAAAAATAATAAAAAGATCCCAAATTAATCATTTCAGTGAAATAACTATCTACTCATTTTTTGTTAATAATGACATGCATTGACTATTCCCATTCTAAATATCTTTAAAACGGTTGCTCGTAGAGATTTTTACCAAGAGACATTTTCTACGTAAAAAATCATGGAAATGTATATTTTTTCACTCGGTAGTTTTATACAGGTACGGACGAAAAGTTATTACTCTTCAAAACAGTTAAAACACAAGTAGGTGGCGCCTCCTGTAAATAGGAGTCGTATTGATATTAAAATCAAATTTCTCATGTCAAAAATCTCCCAGACACCAATTTTCATCCAAATATTGACGTTACTTCAGAAATTATTTGGAAAAAATCGAAATAGAAATGAAACTTCTACACCCTGTGTTTCCGAAACTAAGCACTTCAGAACATACATTTATACAAACTTTTTTACTTATTTTTATCTGCAGAATATGCCGCTGAAGTTTCTGGAATACAGTTACCAGTAGGGTTGAAAACTAAATTAGACCAACTGAACTCTTTAAAATCACCTGAAATATTTCAGTTTCAAGGAATACTTTGATTTGTTTACTTCTACATTACCAAATTGACATGTATCATTAACAAATCAACCTAGTTTCATAAATATACGTCATAAATAAACGATTACAATATTTTATATTCACGTTTTAAAGTTTAAATGTCCATTTAAAGCAATTTAATCAGTTTAGTATCTTTACGATTTTTTTATTGTGTGATTTATCTAGTCCACATTCCAGTTGTAATGACGCCAAACCTGATTATATCCAAGTCAAAAACACGCTAACCACAACAATGATGTTAATATTTTCACGATGCATTTTTTTGACAGTCAATTTCATCGTATACAATGCTAAACTAATAGAACTATTCATAGATATGATAAATTTGTCCCATATTCAGCGTTGTAATGAATAATATATGGTTCTAAATCCTATAGAAATGCCCATTATAATTAATGTATGCGCACGATAAAAGCCACAAGTAATTTCTTTCACTGCATCTAGTTCAATATTAAATTCTTGTGGACATTTCTCGTATAAATTAAGTGTTTTCTCCATTGGCAATGTCAGATTTGTCAAATAACTTAGGCGTTATGTTACAATTATTTGTTCAGAATGACATTGCTTATTGAAAACGCGAGGTTTATAGTTAATTTTGAATTATGGGTATTTTTAAGGCGTTATAATTAATATGGTATAAACATTTTAATAAATCTATGTAAATAAATCCAGAATGGTTGAATAAAACGACGTCACGGCAGGCAAAGAAATTATATTAACCTTTGATTTGACCTATGTCTAACAGTTTTTAGCAGATTAAACCGCTACAAAGGTATATACAGGGTTCGGCAATAGTGCGTCGGACATCTGTAGCTCCTAGAATAAAAAACTCGGAAATTTTGTTCAAGTGCTCACCTGAAATATGTACTAGGATGTATTTCAGGAAAATATTTTAATTTCTATAGGGTGGCTCAAAAAATTGTGAGTGGATCGGGATGATTTTTTTAAATAGCACACCCTGTATATTATTTTTTTATTAGATTGAGACTTAAATAATGAGCATTTTTTGGGTTTAAAGTATTTCAACATTTTTAATGGTTTTGCAGATACACGTAGTATTATTTTATGGCTATTTCAACAGTAAAATATGAGAAAAAAATCACTGGGTGGTTTTGATAAAAATTTACTGTGGAAAATGCCATATGAAATATAAAACCGCGATATCTGCGAAACCGTTAAAAATTTTGAAATACTCTAAATACAAAAAATGTTCATTTTTTAATTCTTCATTTATTGAAAAAATTATATACAGGGTGTTCTATTTAAGAAAACGGAGAAAAATTATTTTATATTTTAGAAAGTTTGGCGTAGAATTTTGTACATCATGTATGATTAACAATTAATATATTTGTAGCAAAGTAAGTACAGACCATCTAATGTAAATACCTAATTCATATAGTTTTGATGTTAGGACAGTTCTTGTATTTTTAATTTTTTTTTTAAAAAAAGACTGAGAAAATTATATTTTTTTTTATTTATTTATTAATATCTCTGAAACTATAGAAATATATTTACTCATATTATCTGACGATTATGTAAAAAAAATCATCTCGATCCACTGACAACAAAAAAATTACGGAAAAATATACATACAGGGTTACATACGACGCGGAGTATTGTTGCTAAACTATAGAGCTACAATTTAAAAATATTTTTACAAGATACAGAGTGTCCCAAATAAATAAAAAATATCAAAGTTGTATTTTTTTAATCACAACACCCTGTATATTTTTACATTTTTAGTTTCTACGATTAAAATAAAGATAAATTTCATTAAGGTTTATCACCCTTAAAGCTTACAGTTTTTGAAATATTTTCAATTTTGTAAAATTGCAGTAACAATTTTAAGGCTTCATTTCTCCAAGGGTATCAAAGTTTTTAATACTAAATATTTACTGAAGTTTAATTATTGATCAGTTATCGTGTTGCAATAATAAAAATAATACTACCTCATACAGAGTGTCTAAAAATTTACTTTAAATAATTTCTAGTTTCTAACGGCAATAACTCGTTTAATTTAAATGGAACACCCGGTATATTTTAGGAGAATAAGATGCACAATTTAATTGTGCATCAAATTGTATTAAACCATTTTTTACCTATCCCTTCAAGTTTTCGTAGAAAATGCATTTTTTTATAAATTAGACCTCATTTATCAATATACTCATGGAATATTGACATTTTAGATTGCTTTTAAAGCAACAAATGTATAAAATGTACAGGTGCTAAAAACGATAATATTACCAGCCTATTTGTATACAAAAATAAAACTATTTAAATCTTTATAAAAGAGTATAACATTAATTAAATATACCACCATTATTTCCGCCCAAATATTAATTAATTACATATTTAATTGTGTTATTTAATAAATTATTCTAAACAATTGTGGATTTGGAATTAGAAGTCAATATAATAATAAGTTATAAAAATGAACGTCTCTGTTGTTATAAGCATTCGTCAAAAAATGAAATAAAATTTTTAAGGTGTTACTTTTTACCACACTGTGTAATACGCATACAAAATTGAGTTGTTTAGTATTTGGAGCAATTACTTGATTTTTTTTTTTTGAATACTGGAGTCTTAATAATTGGTCCTCTTTTACAAATAATTAAACATTTTTTTTATTTTTTAATGACATAAACGAACTATATCGACAATATTAGTATCTGTACCCTTTAAAATTTTGTTACATCTTTAAAAATAATCTAAATCGTCAATATTCCATGGGTATATTGATAATTGAGGTCTAAATTATAAGAAAATGCATTTTCTACGAAAACCTGAAGACGTAGGTAAAAAATGATATAATACAATTTGATAGACAATTAAATTATGCATCTGATTCTCATAAAATATACCGGGTGTTTCATTTAAATTAAAGAAGTTATTGCTGTTTAAAGCTAGTTATTATTTAAAATAAATTTTTAGACACTCTGTATAAGGTAGTATAATTGTTATTATTGCAACACAAAATTAAGCAAATAAAAATACATCAGTACAATATTTGGTTTTAAAAACTTAAATACGCCTAGATAAATAAAGCATTAAAATTATTACTGTATTTTGACAAATACCTGAACATTTCAAAAACGGTAAGATTAAAATGCGCTAAACTCTAATCAAATTTACCTTTATTTTAATCGTAGAAACTAAAAATGTAATAATATACAGGGTGTTCATTTAAAAAAATAAAACTTTGATATTTTTTATTTATTTGGGACACTCTGTATCTTGTAAAAATATATTTAAATTGTAGCTCTAATAGTCCTTCATAGAACCCAAAACTTACAATTTGCAAAAATCTAATAGTTTAGCTACAATACTCCGCGTCGTATGTGGTGAACAACCCTGTATAATTAATTTTTAAATAAATTTAGTTAAGTACTCCGCTCTCTTTCAAAACTGACAGCTCACGTCACGCAAGCTTATAGCTTGTTTGTCATAATTGATGCCCAGTGTAAATCAGTGTTATATTAGCAATAATGGTGAAACACTGATGAAGTAATAAATAAAATACACTTTACAATAACACATTTTTTACAAACGACACCCTATAAAATTTACAAGAAATATAGCATTGACATTTAATCCTTCTATGATATTTTAAAATTCTAATGTAAACATAGGATTTTTTTCTTTCTGTTTTTCCTTCTGTGAAACTGAATCTAATAAATCAAATTGTGATAAAAAATTCTTATGACTGACCTATAAACAAGCCTTTACTTATTGTCATTCCTTAGATAAATCTCAGAAAACTTTACTAAGATTTTGTTTATTTACCCGTTGACATTGACATATTACATTGCACATACTGGGTATTACCAACGATAAGGAATAAAAATCACCAAAAGTGTTATTAACGTAATCTTAAGCCGGGATAGCGGGTAATAAATAACTTAATATTTTCTGCGTGAATTAAAGAAAAATATGAGACGTAAATGTCAATGTCTCGCTTGTTGTCAGTGATGCACATAATATTTATTTATTTATTAACTGCATGGAATAGAAAGACTAGGAAAGGAGCGAAATACTATTTAAAGTTTGATATATTTTGTTCTAGTGAGTCGATTTTGATGATTTCTTAAGCAATTTGTAGCTAGATTATTTGACTTTTTAGTACCTTTTTCTATATTAAAAATGAAAGTTTCCATCTCTCAATTATACGAGGAAAAACTAAATGTTGATATTTTGGTAAAAGTTAAAACACCCTGTGGAATATGTTAACTAAGCTAGGAATTTAAAAATCATTTTATCATTTAAGCCCGTCTTATGTCGATAGTTTTTTTTTATTTATCTCAATAGCTTTATTTTAATTGGAGATATTGGCTTTTCAAGAAGACAGTAACGATTTACAGCTTTTTTAGTATTGATTTTGGGTCCTGATCAACACGCTTATGTAATACATCGATATCCAGTGGAGAATTCATGTCTCTTCAACTATTAAGTTTGCCTACCCCTCAAACAAAGATTTTCCTAGATATCTTCATTTGCATGATTTGAACTGAGTAGAACTTTGTTACTTGATAAAATCTAGGTGGTTGTGATATGTTTGACGTTACTTCAACATAGCTGTCTAATTAGTCCAACGTTAACAACTAGTTATCATATTGTCAATTAAAACAACAAAGTTTCTCAGAAATTTGCCGAAAATGGAAACTTATCCTACATCAGAGAGAATTGTTATGATTTTATTAGTTGGTGAATGCAGTGTGCGTTCACCAATTAATAGAATATTTAGATGCTCCTGATTTGATCTAGTTTGGGTTTTTTTATGAGGATATGTTAAAGACAGTGTTTACAAAATTCGACCAACTATTGTGAGTAATGTCACTGCCAATGAAAAGTCATATTTTTATTGTTTATTGACGTTTAATCAAGTTTAATCTAGCAGAGATGGTTTTAAGTTTTGTTGAATCGGCTATTGCTGCTTTCATTGATCATAGTAGAGATCGACTTTTGGACTTGAAAACAATATTGTGTCTGCGTTGTAAAATCATATTATTCAGTTGTCAAGAAAGTCTTCCTGTCCAATTTTGTCAACCAGCCAAATTTTAAGCATGGGAAAATATGGGTTGCGGATTTCAAAATCAGTCAAATTTTTGCATCAGCAAATTTTCAGCCAGACTGAATTTCCTCCACTTGGGATGTGCCAGACTGTTTTTGCATTAATAAAATGATTAACTTTAATAAATGTCAAATATTTATTACTGGAGCAATAAGTTTACTTTTCTTTTGTTATCTAGTTAACCAATCCATTTGAAAATTTTAGTCTCACATATTGTCATTTAATGTTACCATCCGAACAAACTATTTCATATTCAGCCGACTGGGAAACTAAGAGAAAAGACAAAAAAACTAAAAAAAATCACTGCCTCCTGAACTATGGGCTTTAAGAAGATTGTAATCATGTTGTAATCTATTTTATTTACAACCATATCAAAGAATATACCTAGCTAGAAAAAGAATGGACTCTGCCATACTGAAAAATGGTCCTACAGAAGTGGCGCCATCTATTGAGTAGGGCTTGTTTTAAATGGATCGAAGCGCGGCCTTTTTAAATCAGCGTATTTATTGAATTTTACTCTAAAATAATTAAATTTGATTATTAAATCTTATTTTTTACACAAATTCAACAATACTAATAACAAGTATCGTTGTGATGTGTAAAAAATAAGATTTAACAGTATAATTTATACAATTATTAAATAAAATTAAAGTCAAACGTGTAAATATAATTTATTATTTAAAGTTTTTATTTATAAGTCAAATATTTAAACATCGTTTATACACAATATTACAAAGTTTTGTAAATGGAGTAAATATAAATACTTACATTATATTTTTAGGGCCACAAACAAAAGGAATTGTCTAATAAAAACACATATAACAAATTATAGTTTGAAAAATGTTTTGATAAAATTTTTTGATAATATTATGATTGGCAACGACAATATTTTTTGAGAATTTGACAATAGCATGACAATGGCCGTTGGAAACTACGGAAACTACAAAAAAAATCTGATTGAACGCCATCTGGCAATAACTAGTAGCAACTTCTTAACCTTTGACGCCGTTTTTTTTTCTCGATCATACGGTAAATTCAAACGCTATTCACTAATCGGAAGTGAAGACATATTGAATCCACATGGAAAGAATTCTTTAATCAAAACATTTTTCCATATCCGTGTAACACTTATTATACTACAAAACCGGTTAGTGATAAATACAACTTGTCTAAATATACAACACTAATTACTAAAGATTGAGAAATATTTCCCTTTTTATTTCTTCTTGCTTTAATTAAACAAGCATAGCAGGAAATGCATTACGACCTGCAATTGCAACAATTTTGTCGGTGACATTGAAAACTTTTTTCCACCTAGATACCTACCACTTTTATTATCATTTCTTCAAAGACAAAATTAAATATGGATTTAAAACACGTAAAAACTGACAAATTGCAATTTTTTGCATTGTTGCATATTGTTTATGCCATTGTTTTGTGTTAATAATACGTTGGAAAATAGACTAATTAGAAAGTTATGCAAAAAATAATTAAATTTGCAAATCAATTTACATATTTTATTAGTTGGAATATTTCTTGAGAGTTATAGAAAGGTTTAAGTTATTTTTTGTTAATTATACATATTAAATTTAGTTTTTGTAAATTTAAATTTGTCTTTACAGTTGTATACAGGGTGTCCCCGGCTGAGCGTGCATTAGAAATTTCTAGAGAACTACAATATCTAAATCGGAGATTTTTTGCACATTATTATTTCACAATATGGCGGCACATCCGGAAATATCGGAAGTGCCGCAGCAACTTGACAGCAACTTTCTTATTTTGAATGGGTACCCCCATTTTTTATTACATACTTAAATTCTCTGCAACATTTTGTTAATTTTGATATCAAAAACTCTATTACCTAATATTAACTGTTTTTTGAGAAAAAATATTTAAAATTTTTGGACAAAAAAAACTGCCTGTCAAGAATATGTGCATAGCCTAAACGTTAAATTTGTGGCTACCTATTTCAAAAATTAAATTGTTCGAATGCCATATAATAAGGACCACAGCTGTCATGGAATTGAGCCATTAAAAATTATCCTAAGTCATTTTTCTATGGTGGTTCTCTAGAAACTCCTAATGCCTGGGACACCCTGTATACTGTAGCAAACATTTATAGCCAAGTTATAGATTTGTTTTATTTTTAATTGATATTTATAACATACTTTGATTACTATATCTACAACCTAGTCAATCAGTTAGAGGTCTCAATATCTCGATATAAAGTTTAGTTGAACAAGCCAAAGGATGTCAAGCGCTGTAAGATCTGGGTCACATCGTAAATTCAAGTAGCAGTAAATTTATTGTTGGACTTTAGGTAAAAAACCATAATTAAAAAAGAAGAAAATGTAGTAAAAGACTTTTAACTTACATGTATTTTGTTTGGGATGAGAATTTAAATATAATTAAAGTAATTCTACGTTTATGGGATCATATAACGGATCTTATGATGAATTGTAAAAGAAAGGATATATTATTGGGTAAAATATTTTTTAGTGGTCTAAATAAATTACAGGACATTATTTTTTCTTCAATAAATGTTGAAACCCGTTTAAATGTTACCACCCGATTTACGAGATCCCTGTAATGTGAATTGTTATATTATGAGACACACTGTATATTAGAATAATTTGATCTTGAACGCGTGACAATGCTCGGTACCATCAGACCTTTAATTAAATAACTACTTATAAAATACTTATTTTTTAGAGATACATTTGAGCGAATTTTGTAACTAAATACTTCACAAAATTTTAAATTAATAGTTTTTCTCATATTTCCAGGCTGTCAAACTTTAAGGATGGCCGCTTCCAGGCGAGCCAAAGCTCTTGGTGTCGAACCCAAATCTGTTCGAATGCCTCGTTGCAATAAAAATGGAGGTTTCGAACCAATCCAGTGCGATAACGAGATTATCAGTTCCTGCTGGTGTGTGGACGAAGCAGGATTTGAATTGCCTGGCACAAGGGCACCTGCAGCTTCACTAGTTAATTGTACAGGTATGTATTTAATGTCTTCTTATTATACAAATGGAACAAATTAATTATTTTCTTGTTAGTTTCTCCATTGAAAATTACTATCTAAATCTAGAGAAAAATATATATTAAAAGTTATAATAAAATTGAAATAGGGGGGATGTTTGGGAAATCTGTTAAATTTAAAGTAATAAATCGCTTAAAAGGGATTTATTAGACTTATTTTGATTGTTACCGAGAATAAATATTTATTTCTATTTCTGTCATTTTTTTTTAATTAATATCAGTTCTTTTCGAGGGAAAAAAACTGGTTTGGTAGCTTGGAGGGAAAAAAACTGGTTTTTGAAGCTTATCAAGGAGAGGGAAAATGTGTATGAATATGAAAAAATTATGTATAAATGATGGTTACTTTAAAAAATTGGGGCAGTTACATATAGTTAACAACAGGCAAACTGTTTTTTTTTACAGCCAAATTTAACTTTCGATTAAAACTATCAGGAAAAAGTCACAATAATTAAAGCATAAACTCCAAAACCTTAATTTGTAAATAAACAACTGTGATATGGTCAAATTAAATATAAAGCCACAAATGACGTCTATGATTTTTGAACTCTGAATTCTTCTTATGTTTTTATGAATAATTATTGAAGAATCAATAATTATTCAGGATCTTGAGAAAAGATTTAATATTGATATTCAAAGTTTTGCAATAAAAATCTGAATTAACTTATATCATCGTATGGATGTAAAAAATTATTTACAGTATATAATTTTGCCCATGTGCAACAAATTAAAAACAAATAAATTAAAGTTACCTAGTTTATATATATTTTTAATTGTCTATATTACTTCATATATTAAAATATAACGTAAATTACACCAAACAAAACTGTATACCTTCAAAATCACGCTACGCATACGGTAACGGCTAAACGAAAAAGCAATAATTAATTAATTAAAAAGGGGTAATTAAAGAAGTGGAATTAATAGCGAAAAGCAGACAAACTATTGTGCTTACTAATACGAGCGGATGTTTGCAACGCCATGACCTGATTTCCCTTGGCCGTCGGTACGAAAAAAATGCCATCGAGCGAGAGCAGACCATCTAGATTGCTATAGACACGATCTTCTATTTTTTTTTCGTCGATTCTCACGAAAAAATATAGTCATTTAACTGTTTCGTCCCGAAAATTCTAGAAATGGAATGTTTTTTTAATATGTTGCGTGCTGGCGCTTTAGGTCTCTATACAGGGTGAATCTTAAATAAGTGCAAATATTTTCAGGGCTGTTAGATCTCGATAAAAGAAACATATTTTCTCTTTACCGTTTTTCAAATAAATCCATAATAACCGAGTTATTTTACTTTGAAAATTTCCAAAAAGATGATTTTTTGCTAAAATTTTGAGAATCACTAAATCTTTTCTGGATTTTCTTTCTTGTAAATTTAATCTACTACCTATGTTGCCCTATTATTAAGCAATTATGGTTTTTAACTAAAAACTAAAAAAAATACAATTTTTTTTCAAAAAACTCCAATTTTCAAAGTTTTTTTTCGCGAAGAAAACCTCATCGTGTTTCTGGGTCGAAATATACTACCCCTAAGAATATTTGCACTTATTTAAACTCATCCCGTATAGCTTTAGAGAGAAATTTGACTTGGGCAATAGTTAAAATAATTTATGGCAATATTAATATTAAACATTTTTGGCAATAAATTTCCAATTAGATTAAAAATGACAAAAATTAACCTCTTGCTGTGGGGTATCTGGAAAATTTGACATTTAAGCAAAAAATTCCTAAAAGATGGGTGTCCTGGTCGAATTTTTAAAAACTTTTTATTTTTTATTCATGTTGGTACGAACTTTTAATAGATGTATGGTTTGTATATGTCAGTTGACATCATACTTAAAATTACATGTTCGAAATAATGCGAAAATAATCATTATAACTTATCAGAAATCTCCGATTTGCAAATTAGAGGGACGCACCTAGATTAGCAAAGATTGTTTCTATTCTATTTGGTAATTTTTATGTAAATACAAATTTTAAATTATTAGATACACTTGTTGGAACTAAAACAATTTCATTTTTTAGTGGTTATATGGTTAAGATATTACAGAAATCTAATTTATTCAAGCTAATTTCAGAATTTCTTGATTGGTAAATTTAAGGGTGACAAAATCAGAGAAAAATCATTGAAGCAACTTATGCTTAAAAGGGAAGATTAATTTGTTAAAAATATGATATTCTGAATCAAAATAAATAAAACTAAAAAGGGTTACTTACCACCAGTTATAACGCAAGAACGGTTGGACCGATTTTAATCACATAAAATTAATTTTTAAATAAATTGGTTTGGAAACTCCGCCATCTTCTGCAACTGACAGCTCACTTATGAGCAGGTAATGCACCCTTATAGTTTATTTGTGAATTAATTAATTCATTATTAATTTAATTGAAAAACAGCATATTCAAATATAGAGACATATTGAATTAGATAAAAAATACTTGAATTGAAATTTACAACAAAAATATATCTACACAGAAAACACATGATAACAACTGTCAAAACTTTTGATGCCAATCATTTTAGATCATTCAGTCATTATTCGGTAATCATTCGATCGTCATTCGGTCATCTATACGACAATATTGACAGAAAAACTCACTTTACTTCATTGGTAGGAGGTACGAAATTAGCCTGGCCAGTGAGTGTTTAAGTAATTTTTATGGGCAATATTTCTGAATAAATGATTTAACTCACACGAATAAATAAAAAAGTTCCACATATATGTTCGATGCAAGAATACACTTAAATTTCAGTTTTCGAACATCTAACCTATAAACATGGATAACAGATGCGAGTTAAAATTGGAAAGCTTGTTTTCTCAACGAAATTTATTACTTACAACTTTTGATCTTTGGAAGGTTACACAAAATAAAGACGATGCATTTTCTTTCGTTTTTTGTTTTTTAAAAAAGTGGAATTTTTTAAATTTCTATTAGAAATTTTTTACTCCAAAATTTTCAACTTTATGTGTCAAATTGTCCTCATTGACGGATTAAAATTCAAGAAAATTTTTGTTGCTAAAACGGCATTTACGAAAAGATATTATGTTAGTCTAAAGTTGTATAGAATATGAGAGAGACAAATTTTCTCTTTGTTTCAGCACCAAAATCTTGTGCTGAAGCCACCTGTCGCATGTTCTGTCCTCATGGTTTCGCTCTGGATAACCACGGTTGTCCAAAATGCAAGTGCAGAGACCCGTGCGATGATATCAACTGTCCACATGCCTTGGAATGTCATTTGGAGGAACTGGCTTGCGCAGATCCACCGTGTCCTCCTGTTCCTACTTGTAAGTAACATTTATACCAGTACTATTTTTATAATAATAACTAATTTAATTTTTTTGTCAATCATTGAATATTTTGTCAGAATTTTTGTTGAAATTATTGTTTGTGTTATAATACCACATGATCGATTTATTTTCTAATGGCACTTATTTTCACATTGTCAAATAATTTTTAAATGGTGTAGTTTAATATTTTAGAAAAATATTTTTTTTTAAATAGATTTGTCTGGAAACCTTCTATCCTTTTTAGTCTTTCTGTAATTAGTGTTAATTTTTGTTTTGGTTTGGAACGTCAAGAAATTAACCGCGCTAAAATTAGCATTTATTATCATTCCCTAGTCGCCTTTGAAGCCGTTTTTTTCGATCATGCGGTATATACCTTACCGTAGAAGTAATTCTATTATAAGTCAATGATAATAAAACTCTTTGTTATTTTTTTAGTAGCGTCAGTAAAAATTATTTTAAACTTTTTATATTTCCTCTGTAGTTGGATTTCTCATTTTATTATCTCCCTTTGTTAGATTTTCTTATTGAAATATTAATAATTATTTTTTATTGGCAAATATAGATTAAAATGGAGTGGAATTAGACAATTTAAACTGTAAATTTTAATTGAAATAATTCGTTGTAACACCGGAAATTAAATAATTATTTATTTCTGTCTGTATTCTAATGTTTGATTAAATTTTTAATTGATATCAAATTATATTACACATAGATATAAATTTAGTTGAATTCTGAGTGAATGAAAAAATATGTTTTATTCCTTATTGAATTAATATAAGCTTTTTATCTTCTTGGTTAACCCTTTATAGGTTGTTGCTTCACGTTTTTAAGTGAAGCAACTAACCAAAATGACTCACAACTGCAAAATAGCATCTTCTTCACGAGAACTAACGCGAAAAAATAAGCGGTTCCGTCTTGGGTAGGAAACTCGAAATGGCATTTCATGCAATCTGTTTTTCATTTCGAATGGTATTTATATCCGAGCACGACTTTGAAAGGTTTGGTGTGATGATCTTTTGCCCATCCTCAAATCACCGTTCGTGATACGTTCATGGTCGATTTTTTTTCAGGACAACACTAATGATAATAGTGCTTATTTTTGCTGGCATGACATTTGGATGAACGACGAAATGAAAAAAGAAGCAGTAAATATTTCTGCTTTTCTAGCTAGTAGAAGGTTAATTAATATTCCACTGCCAATTTAGTTTTATTACACCCTGTGTTTCAATTTGACTTTGACTCATATCATTGGAATCTTGGAAACTGTTGTAAAGGCAGACTGGCTCAAATCAGGGCAAAGTTGCCCTCGGTGTTTCTTTACTTTATTCGATAGAAAATGACACTCTGAATAGAATGACATATCATATGTCAACTTTTGACATTTTCGCTTACAAAAAAAATCGTATTTTAAATTTCAATCTAGAGTGCTATGGGTGCGTTAAAAACATTAATTTTTAATCGAGAAACCTTGGAAAAATAGATTTGATCATCTAATGTTTTTCGTGTCCCTGGCGGGTTAAAAGATGCACAAATCGTTTTTTTAATCATATCTTAATTTTTTTCAAATGGAACAAGGGTGGCTTATTAACATATTTGGAAAAAGCATTTTTTTACAAATAATTTGATACCAAACACTTTGTATTTCGAGTCAAATTGTTGTAATGAACCGCATGTTATAATTTCAAATAAACCATATGCGAAAATGTCAAAAGTTGACGTATGATATGTTATCCTACTCAGAGTGTCAATTCCTATCGAAAAAAAAGTAAAGATATACCGAGGGTACCATTTAAAAATCAAAAGTTGTAGTAATTTCCACATAGTGCACACAGAATTTTTTTATCCAATTTTTGTGTATTTGTGACTATTGATTGAGAACAAAATATATTCAATTCGAAACTACATTTTTCTATTATAATTAATAGAAAAACATCAACTTCAATAATCGCACGTTAAGATAAAACTAAAATAACACGCTTTATTATTTACCCATAGTAAAGATCTAATGAAAAGAATTCTACGATCAACCTGTGCCTAGCTTATTACCGAGTAATTTTAATAAAAAGACAATCACGATTCCTCACAACGAACAGCCCATGAACTTTAACGAGAAGCCAACAACCTGGCAACGCTTTTCCTTGGCAGCACAACGTGACAGCGTCTCCATTTTCCTCTCTAACAGAATTTCTTTGGGATTTAATAAGGTATTAATTATTTTTGTCGAAGAAACGCGATAAATATCAAGCCGAGAAAGGTGTGTTTAGATTCAAGGTTCGGTGTGAATAGAAAAAAAAACATCAAAGAAAGAGGGAAAATGTGTACAAGGTATGAGTCAAAACAGGGACGGTTTTATTGCTAACTTGTGTTCAAGGATGTAGAAAATGACATCTGTACTCTGTTTTTCGAGTCAGGGAAAATTGCGACATATGATGACAGAAAAAAGGCAGATAACGTCCATGTCAATCTGTTTATTTTACAAAAAAAGTTTCGTCCCTTGTTGTTTTTAAGCAGTCTTATTGGTTTATTTAAAAAATAACTGTCAAGCGCTTTAAGCAGGATCGTGATTAATCAATGACCAGATTTTTCAAAACACCCTGTATACATTTTTAAAAAATCTTAAAATATGTAAAAAAACAAAATAAAATATACGTGTTTAAGCGTTTTTTCGAAAACTTGACCGTTTTTTAAATAAAAAATATTGTAATATTTGAGGGGTGGTTTCACCCTTTTGGAACTGGAATTTCGAAAAATCCCTTCTTATCGAACCTCTACACCCTAGAATCAACCTGTATGCCAAAATTGAGCTTCTTACGTTGAGTGGTTTGAGCAGGATCGTGATTAATCAGTATGTCAGTCACTTAAGGATTTTATATACAGGGTTGTTCACCACATACGACACGGAGTATTGTAGCTAAACGATGAGATTTTTACAAATTGTAAGTTTGGGGTTCGTTGAAGGACTATTAGAGCTACAATTTAAAAATATTTTTACAAGATACAGAGTGTCCCAAATAAATAAAAAATATCAAAGTTGTATTTTTTTAAATGGAACACCCTGTATATTATTACATTTTTAGTTTCTACGATTAAAATAAAGGTAAATTTAATTAAAGTTTATTATACTTAAACCTTACCGTGTTTGAAATATTTTCAATTTTGTGAAATTGCAGTAAAAATTTTAAAGCTTCATTTCTCCAAGGGTATCAATGTTTTTAATACTAAATATTAATGAAGTTTATTTATTGATCAGTTATTGTGTTGCAATAATAAAAATAATACTACCTTATACAGAGTGTCTAAAAATTTATTTTAAATAATTATTAGCTTCAAACGGCAATAACTTCTTTAATTTAAATGGAATGCCCTGTATATTTTAGGAGAATCAGATGCACAATTAAATTGTCTATCAAATTGTATTATACCATTTTTTACCTATCCCTTCAAGTTTTCGTAGAAAATGTATTTTCTTATAATTTAGACCTCATTTATCAATATATCCATGGAATATTGACATTTTAGATTGTTTTTAAAGCAACAAATATACAAAATGTACAGACTAGTAATATTATCGTTTTTAGCACAATGATAATATTACTAGCCCATTTGTATGCAAAAAGAAAACTATTTAAATCTTTATAAAAGAGTATACCATTAATTAAATATAACACCATTATTTCCGCCCATATACTAATTAATGACATACTTAATAGTGTTCGTTAATAAATTATTATAAATAAATGTGGATTTTTGAGTCAGAAATCAATATAATAATAAGTTATCAAATTAAAGTCTTTGTTGTTATAAAATAGGCATTTATTAAAAAATGAAATATCATTTTTAAGGTGTTACTTTTTATCACACTGTCTAATGCCCATACAAAATTCAGTTTTTTAGTATTTGGAGCAATTATTATTAATCAACGCAAACAGTCAGTTAATGTAGTTTGAATACTGGAATCATATTAATTGGTCCTCTTTAACAAATATTTAAACAGTTTTTTATTGTTTTAATGAAATAAACGAATTATATCGACAATATTAGTATCTGTACTCTTTAAAAATTTGGTACATCTTTAAAAATAATCTAAAATGTCAATAGTCCATGGGTATATTGATAAATAAGTTCTAAATTACAAGAAAATGCATTTTCTGCGGAAACTTAAAGAGATAGGTAAAAAATGGTATAATATAATTTGATAGACAATTAAATTGTGCATCTGATTCTTATGAAATATACAGGGTGTTCCATTTAAATTAAACAAGTTATTGCCGTTTGAAGCTAATAATTATTTAAAATAAATTTTTAGACACTCTGTATAAGGTAGTATTATTTTTATTATTGCAACACAATAACTGATCAGTAAATAAACTTCAGTAAATATTTAGTATTAAAAACTTTGATACCCTTGGAGAAATAAAGCCTTAAAATTTTTACTGCAACAAAATTGAAAATATTTCAAAAACGGTAAGGTTTAAGTATAATAAATCTTAATCAAATTTACCTTTATTTTAATCGTAGAAACTAAAAATGTAATAATATACAGGGTGTGTTCCATTTAAAAAAATACAACTTTGATATTTTTTACTTATTTGGGACACTGTATCTTGTAAAATTATTTTTAAATTGTACCTCTAATAGTCCTTCATCGAACCCAAAACTTACTATTTGTAAAAATCTCATTGTTTAGCTACAATACTCCGTGTCGTATGTGGTGAACAACCCTGTATAGATAAAATATTTCGTGCAATATTTACATTTTTTATTATAACAATTTTTAGTTGTTCTTTTTTATAGATTTTTTGGACGTGGTGTTTTGCCCACGCCCCCCTTTCCTTTAAAATTGCACAACTAAAAATATAAAATAATGAATCATCATACTATCACACACAAAAACAAAATAGAACTGCAAAATTCTAGTAGAGTTTTGACAACCCAATCTAAAAACCCTGTAAAGTGACAATCAATCAATCAAATCAGGTCAATTGTAGAATTGTGTA